ATTGAAAGCATTCTTTTCTTTTCACGAAACTATACCTTTTTCACAGTTTCGCTAAATTTGCAAGATTTTTCGTCTGATTTCAATTTAGAAATTTACTTCAACTGCTTGTTTAATTAATTCTTTGTTCCCTTCCCTTTGCGAATACAGTGAACATAATCGTAAGCATTGATGTGACATTTATGCTTTTCATTTTTACGCTTTCCTCTTTTTACAAAGTACGAGCAAAAATTCATCGGTAGAGATATATATATTTCTTCATTATATATATGTATATGGGTCAATTACTTCAGCATTTTAATAGTCGAACACCGATTTATTCTTACATTTTCACACCGAAATTCTTGCATGATTGGTACGAGGATCAATCAGGTTTAATTTTTCGACAATTAAATGCCGATTATACAGGGTGATTCACGTAACTTGCACACCTGAAGTAACTTTTCAATTATGCTGTCTGATGAAAAATTGTTTGATACGAATAGTCGTGTGGTTTCGAGGGAGGCAAAATGTGGCGTATCAATTTTTTGCGTGTGTCGACGGGTTTCGAAATTTTCAAGGTCACCTCTATCTTCCTAAATCAAATCATATATATATATTTTTTTTTTCATCGTAAATCGAAAGAACAGTGAATTCTAAGTAAAAAAGTATTAACCTACATTGGTTACAAACCTAATAGTCAAGGAGAAATTATTTTACGATGATTTATCTCGAGGATGAGAACTACGTAGTATCGTCAGGTGATTCGACAATGTTTAAACACTAGTGTCATTATTTTATATTCGGATGTAGAGTTAGTCACATTCGGACAATTCATTCTGTTAGTCGAAAGAATTCTGTAGTTATTGAAATTCGTGGATGATTTTTCTAAAAATGTTTGAGGTTAAGGTAACATTTGTGACACGAGTGTGCTCCAGTTCGGTTGGCAAGTTAGGAATTTCTAAACCATTTGGACCACTTGCATCAATATCTGTTTTTTTCCTCTTAGAAAGCAGAATCGTTTCTTTTCCCAGTGTTATTTTTATTAAAGATGACTCAACGATACGTTTCAGACATCGTTATAGATTTCATTTTTCCCTGTTTGACCACGAGACTTGTTACACTCTTCCCGATGTCAATAAACTGTGAATATGTCCAGTAATATAACCATAAGTTTTCCCTGTTCTTGTTCTCAAGTCGATGTGCAATACATTTCTTCAGTCAAAGATAATTTATCGACTACGTAGTATAGTACTGGAACTTTTATCTCGATAATTATATAATAGAATTTTTACTCGCAACGGTCATAAACAATCGATCTTCTCGAGACATCCGAACGACGTTAATAACAATTACATCAATGCTAATTGTGCAATTGCACGTGTATAGTCTTACTTGACAGATTAATCACGATATTCCGCGATTTTATTGTGAATTTTCAGTCCTATGGATTTCCAATTCGTCAATAAGAAAAATACCATCCGGCCGGGACGTTGCCTTCAGATTATTTTTTTTATCACGCAGATTATATTTTGATTATATTTTTTAAAGTTCACCACCTCTTTAATAATTTACAGCTGATATTAAACTTCGATATTTCGCAGATGATCTTTGAAAACGTATGCGGGATATAGACGAAAGGAGTTTAGAAGAATATTTCACAGCTTTATCTGGCATTTTTATGTTTTTATGTGTGTTTTTTTTTATATATATATATATATATATTGGAACGTGATGCCATCTACAGTACAAACAAGTGTTGACAGACGTGCGAGCAAACAGCGTTATTTTTTCAAGGGACAAATAGATATTACATAAAATATTTTCTGTCCTCGTGTATAACTCTGCTTGCGTCTTGATGTAATTCTGCGATTCGCTACATTTTCTCTACTACTTTCTAACGTGCATCTATCTCAAAAATTTTCCTATCTATTTTTTTCCGTCGAATGTGACTGGTAGAATTGCCATATTTACTTCACACAGTTGTCAGCGACGAGCGTCCTTTCCTCCCGTCTAAAACGAGATATTTTCATGAAAAATTTCTGACGTTTCTTCGATTTAAATCCAATCTCGCGAGGAAAATCACCTGTCCGACGTTATGTCTACGTGAAATGACACAATCGAGTCTCTGGTTGTTAGTTATTCTTCTATCTGTAGAATCCTATCGTGTTGTTGTAGAACTGCGACGGAATGTATGGCTGATTGAACGAATTGAGGGCCGGATGCTTCAACCGATATTGCATCGGTGTCAGCCTCATTATTCGGATGTTGATGTCGCGCATGTTCACCTCCTGTTTGAAGAACTTTTGAAATCTGGTGGTCAGCAGCCACAAGTTCCCGTTGTCGCGTTCCGTCCATCGGATTTCAGCGGTGAACTGAAGCTTCTCCGGGCTGTAGGCTAAAATCCTGAAAAAACAGGGAACAACATCGCGATAGAAACATGTTAGAAACAGACTTCGCGGAGGATTTTCTTATCTTCTTCATAAATTCATCAAATACAATTTACTATTTTTTGTCGATTTCTCGAGAAATCTACTCGACGAATAACGAATAACGAAAAGAACTCTCGTCTTTTTCTCTACTCGAGGAACGATGTATCAGCGATATTTTCATCCTATTTTAACATGTTTGAACATTTTTTTTTGAAATATTTCGTCTTGTTCTCACAAAATGACTTCTGCCAAGAAGTAGAAAACGTTTTATTTCTACAATAATCTTTTCTAGACGATGTATAATATGATATATGATATTAATTATAATATACGTTAAATATATATTATATTATAATATAATATATGATATATAATTAATAATATAAAATAATGTATATTATATATTAATGTATATTATATATCATATAAGATATACATTATATATAAAATAGATATAATATATTAATATAATACAATATAGTATAAATATAAATATATAAATATAAATACATATATAGAAAAATATAAATAATAATATATTATATTATATATTATATTATAATATAATATAATTATATATTATATTATAATACATTATAATATAATATATAATATATAATTAATAATATATAATATATTTAATGTATATTATATATCATATATACGATATATATTATATATCAAATATATATAATATATTAATATAATATAATATAATA